CCCTCCCCACACACACCCCTCCCCCCAACCGCGGGTACCCGGACGCTACAGTACAGCAGGAATTTTGCAGCACACTTTCTCGTAGATTCCTTTCTTGTATGAAGTCGGCCGGGGGACCACACGAAAAAATTAGAGCAACTTATGCTGAGCGTGTAGTCGTGTGCACACTGTGTGCGGTCACACCACAAGGTTGAAACATTCAATTTTCTATTTGTATTTGGAAGATGAGGTGATAACAAAGGGGGAAGGTTAGGGTTTATCTATGTTTTGCTTATTTTTTGAAGGGACCGTTCGCGCGCGCACGTCAAACGCCTCCGAGAAAAATCGAACACCTCGTTTTTGGAAGAAGACAATATAAGATGTGAGTTGTCGTTATTCCATATCTTTTTTTGGGCGGTCCCTTTTTGAGAAAAGAGGCAGCCCAAAAGAAGACCACGCAACAAGTGGCCTGAGTACACCTGAGTAGACAGTTTTTGTTTTGGCGTTGTGTGAACACACAGCGTATGAGAGACGTGATGATGTTTCGGCACGGGTTGATCAATAGGCGGCGCGTTTGTCGCGGGTACTTGAACCCACTCGCGAGCACGCGCTCGCGCTGCTGCAACGCCGCGGTCCTTTCTAAGGTCGCAGTCTGATCTCTCTCTCTCTATTGTCTCTTCTGGTTCTATTTCTGTCATCGACCACATCTATCTTCGTACGTACCGAGGTTTGTGTTGAAAAACGTGGGCTGTTCTTGCTCACCCTGTGGAGCGTTGCGAGGCTCATTGGTGTAGAGCGAGATGCCCAAATTTGAAAGGAACACACGCACTTTTCGGAAATTAAATAACTTGTTATTCGCGTGCTGCTTGAACGTGGAAGAACCGAAGTTTCGCCGCCTCTTCATCAGCATTTTCGAGTGCGCGTATGTATTGTAGCGGGAGATGGAAGTACATAGTGTGGGATGGCGCAGAGGTAAAAGGCAAGCAACGAAAGAACCCCCCCCCCCCCTCCAATGTTCCAGGCTCCCATGGACGTGGACGGCGGAAACGCGACGGGCGAGAAGGCAGCGGCGCCCGACGCGAACGGCTCCGCATCTCCAACATCTCCGACGGAGAACGGGGAGGGGCCGGCGGCGGTGGCGGAGGCTAAGGTGGACGAGGCCCCGAAGAAGAAGGTCTACACCAAGGTGTGTGAAGCCCGAAGGACAGAAATGGGGCGGGCGGAGGGGGTGTGCGTGTGTGTGTTGACGTGGATTTTTTGTAAGGCGAATATGTGCACGGGTTTTGGTTTAGGAAGCTTGACTGGTTTGGTTTGGTTTGGTTTGGTTTAGTTTGGTTTGGTTTGGTTCGGCGCCGGCTGATTGCTGCTGCGGAGGGGGCCGTTTGTGTTGTTGCTGCTGCTGCTGCTGCTGCTCGCGTTGGTTGTTAATGCCGTTTGTTGCTGCTGCTGTTGCTATTGGCTGTTGAGGGTTGTTGCTGCCGCTGTCGGTGCCCCTGTCGGTGCCCCTGGCATCTAGAGTGGCGGCGGGCTACCCGTGGTGTCGTTCACCCGAACTTGTTGCTTGAATTGAAATCGTTCAAACGACGTCTCGGACGAGACCAAAGTTAACGTTGACATCATTGTGTGCTGCAGCTGTGATATTGTAGGTGGTTGAGGATTGTTTCGATGAAAATGTGGTAAGTTTTTTCTCTTTTCAATGTGAAGGTTCCCTTGAAGATCGATGCGAAGACCTCCGCCTGGAGCAAGAGCGAGATCGACAGAGCTGTCGAGATTGAGGCCCAGATGGCAAACCAGGTAAGACAAATATATTTATACATCGATAAGGATGATCTATGCCGCGCACATGCTGGAAGGAAATGAAGCGTACGACGGCTTTACAGTTCTCCCGATGACGAGGGACCGAACACTAGTCGAGACACGATAATAACGAGATATTAACTTTTCTCGCCCCCCCGATGAGGTTTCGTCTCGTGTGTGGGGGGCTCATGTGCGTTGTCAGCTTTTCTATTTATCATGTTAGTTGTGCACACAAGAAGACGTCTATCTACTTCAAAGGTCATGCATCGTGGCCGTCGTCGTATCCCGGTAGGGATGGATTCCAACCTACACCGCTGCGAGTCCGACTACTTTGTTCTCTTCTGTGTATATTTGCCAGCCTTGAAGAAAGCAATCGATGACCTTGTATTGTTTTTTGTTGTTCTTGGTCTTTGTTGCCAACAGGACCGAGTGTTGAAGGAAACGGCGGACAAGCGCAACGAGCTGGAGAGCTACGTGTACGCCATGCGCGACAAGCTGGTGGGCTCGCTCCGCATGTACATCGAGGGGGAGGAGGCCGACAAGTTTGGCAGCAGCCTCACGGCAGCGGAAGACTGGTAAGGGGGCATTCACTAGTGTGGAGGCATGCCGTAGTCGTTAGACCGTTGACCTACTCGCATGCCGGGACGGAGCTCTTTTGCCGTCCCAGGCTGCGTTTGAGAAGGTTGAAGCAGAAACTGGGCGTCGTGCTTGCCTTCGCTGACCAGACATACCATGGAATACTGGCGAGGGAAAAGAACAAACAGGCGACATGTTTTTGCGTGTTGGTCGGACTCGCCTAATCATATCTGGCTGCGTTTATTAGTCAAGGTTTAGTTAGCGAATAAAGCCTGCTCTTGTTTGTGGTTTGACTTGACCCCCTGTGTGACTCTCGAAAGATACATAGAGATGGATGGACCCCCGACGTGGAATGAGCAGTTTAAAACTCACACGCTGCCGTCCCGCTCCGCCCTGCCGACCCTTAACTCATGTGCTTGGATGGTGTTTCGGTTGTCGTGGTTGGATGCCTCTCACTACTCACTATCCAAGGCTGTACTCAGACGAAGGCTTCGACAGCACCAAGTCGGTCTACGCGGCCAAGTTGAAGGAACTGATGGACCTCGGAAACCCTGTGGAGAGCAGGTTCTACGAGGCCAACAACCGCCAGGTGACCCACAGGGGCATCGGGTTGAAACCCTAACAACGCCCGATAGGCTACCACAAGAGGCGTCGCAGAGATGCCCCCCTCGACCGACTTTTAAAAGTCGATTGTTTGACAACCAACGGGGTGCGGGAAGTGCTCGATACACTGTCTACGGATAGCTTTGACGAGAGGCTTTCAGGACCATCGTTGTTGGTGTTGGCATGACCTTGGTTGTGCGNGGCAGGTGGGGGGGGGGGGGGGGGGGGGGGCCCCCCCCCCCGCCTCTTCCGGTATCCCCGGTCATCGTGGTGGCGAATATAAAAGAAACTTGACAGTTTGGGGCGAGGCCCTTATGTCGTCGCCACCGTGTACAGGTTGTTCCAGAGTTGAATCCTTCGGAACGTTTTTTTGTTTTTCTGCCAATAATGACCGAAACGTGCTTGTTTTTCGCCCGGACGTTATGTCTGTTTCTCGCCGTGGCAGACGAAACCAAAGCAACAAATCAGGTGCCCAACAATCCCAAACAATTTGGAGCACTACCATCGTAACCTGCAGCTCCACACAACACTGCGGACCACCCTCCCCCCGTCCGTCCATGGTGCCGTCCGTTTATCTGGTGCGGTTGCATCCCGCACTTGGCCCCACACGCGCAGAACAATTACCCGCAAATACTTGATTGTTCACACGATATGATCAACTACCCTGCCCCCCCCNCCCCCCCCCCCCCCACTGTCCATGGTGCTTTGCGCGTTTTTCTCATGCGATATTCTCCGCTGCACTCCGGCACGTGCGCAACAAACACATACTACACGTGATCAGGGCGCTGCCGCGGAGCTGCAAAAGGTGATCGACGGTTACGTGAAGTTCGCCAACTCTTCGGATGAGGCCTATGCCCACGTCGAGGCCGAGGTAAGACCGCTAGTAATATGAAACGGTACGGACCGGTACATGGTACGGAACGGTACGGCTGTAATGGTGGAACGGTACGACTGTAAAGAGAGAACAATATGGCTGTAAAGGCGGAACGGTACGGTACGGTACGGTACGGCACGGTACGGCACGGTACGGCACGGTACGGCACGGTACGGACGCACTTACAAGTTAAAGTCGATACGGCGCAGCTGAGAATGTTGGAGACACTTGGTAGCTTCTGAAGTGCTTCTGTAGCAGTGATGCCAGCCAGCCAAGGCCACAACAGATGCCTTGCATCTCCAATCGGTCTGAATCGGAGTACGGGCAAAAATCGGGATTCCTGTTGTGTGCAGCTTCGACAGGATACGAAATAGGTCGGTTTTTCAGCAGTGGTTGTTCAACCCAACCTGTGGAACGTGCACCCGTTGTCTCCCGCCGCCCTCAGC